AATGACTTTCTCAAAGTCCCACAGCCATCCCCAAAGTCTGTTTTTCCTCCAACAGCTGCTAGAATTCCCTGGGGACAGAGGCCTTAACTCCCTTTCTTTTGTGCTCAACTCTTTCTTTGCAGACCCTGTCATCACATTTCCTCCCCCTGGAAGCCTGCCCTGATTGCCTTTACCTCCTTTTCTGAAAATTGCTATCTCTGCAGAAGTGAAGCATTGTGCAAATGCCCTAGGGGTGTGCTGTGGAGAGGGCACAGCCCCCTGTGATGCAGAACACCACACTCAGATTCATCAGCTCGGTAAGCCTACCTTTCCTTCCAGGTGAGAGGGAGGTGGGAGGGCGCCTCTGTCCAGTGATGGGAATCTGGAATTTTACAAGACCTGGGTTGCGATGTGGCCTTGGATGTATCTCCTTCCCATTCCAGGCTTTGGTCTCTGCCTCTCTACTTGAAAGGTGGGAGTAGGAAGGACATGTCAGTTTGAGCTCAGGAGCTGCTTCTCCTGAGAGGTCTGTCTGGCCTCTGGGAACAAGGTGGATTAGTGGTGTCTGCTATGATGGTTGATGGAGAAAGGTGGATGAACCTCAGTCACTTGCTGTCCTTTCTAGCCTCATAGCGCAGGCACTCTGGGGTGGGGTCTTTGTGAGAGCGAGTGGCTAGCTTCACCTTGGCCTTTTGGATGCTTCATTGACTGCCAAGAAAAACCACTTGGTTTGTCAGTCACATAGCCAAAGGGACAGAAGGCTGCAGGGGGCTTGGCAGGGCCTTAGGACCTGCTCTGGGAATTGTAGTGTCCCTAGGGTAGCAGGACCCCAGGTAGAGGTGCCCCTCCAAGGGCAGAAAAGGGAGCAGCAGGCCCATTCCTGGGTGTCTCCCAAGGATCCATCAAAACCATTTCCTGTGCTGTGTGTAGTGGGCAGAGTCAGCGCAGAGCACTGTCACAAACTGCTCAAGCAGGGGAATGTGGTGTGACCCTCAAGGAAAGGACATTATGTAGTTTATTCGTCAGAATGTGGCATGCTGTGGTCAAGGGTTCTTTCAGGGCCCCACTGTATCATGTCTCTGCTACCCCCCTTCCACACCCCTGTGATCTGATGGCTTACAGTTGCTTTACAATGAGCTTCTGTCATCTGGGACCCAGTGTGATTGACCTCTGTGACTGGCTTCCCTGAAGGGAAGACTTAGAGGTTAGTTCCTATTGTTGTCCTCCACCTACCATCCTACCATCGCTCCTTGTTTTGACAGAGGGTCCTAAAGAACCCAAGCTGGCTCTGAGCTCATTATGTAACTAAGGCAAACCTTGAACTTTGGTCCTGCTGTCTCTACATCCCAAGTGGTAAGATTATAGGTGTGTCAGCCAGACAAGCACTCTACGGCTGAGTTATAGTCTCAGCCCCAAGAATCCCAGTTCTGAGCCTTCCACCAAAGCATTATGATCTCAGACTTTTCCAGAGCACCTAATTTGACCCCTTCTATTTAACACAAAGACGAAGAAACCAAGACCCAGAAAAGAACACAGGAGGTATCTACTTATGTTCTGATCTACATCCTGATGCCCAACCCTCCCAGGTTTCTGGGCCCAGGACATCAGACCTAATGCTTTAGGTCTGGCTCCTCCTACCTGTTGGGGAGTGGCCTGCAGGCTGGGGTCACCTAAGCTCGTCAGTTCTTCAGGTGGATGCTTGAAGATGAGAACATGGCTCTGTATGGTACAAAGTCCTGGATGTCAGTCTGCTTGTCGGTCTGTTTATTATTCATGAGGAAACACAAGCTCCCAGGTTTTTTGGCAGGGTCTGGAATTCTGTCCCTTCTCACCCCTCAAGTGTCCTGGAGGCTCCCCAGGGAACTGTGTGCTTTTCTAGCTAGGGTCTAGGGTTTCTGCCCCTTAAATACTCGCACCAGCTTGGGGAACTTGGACCACAAAGCTTTCCTTGTCATAGATACTTGCCATTTTCCCAAAGAACCCAGAGACTCAGGGTGACATCTGCCCTGGAGGAGTGGGCTCTCACCTTTGGGTGAGGTCTGGACTGAGGAGCAGGGGCTACTGAGCATGTAGGCCTCTTTGTAGATACAGGAGACCTGGGTTTGAATCCAAGCCTTGCCGCTTCCCAGCAGAGTAGGACAAGCTGATCTGCTTCTCTGAGACTCACCGTTCTCATCTGCCCTAAAGAGATAATGAGGTGCCTCTCAGAACTACTGCAGTGGGCAAATTAGACTCACACTGTGGCAGATCACAGCATCAGATAAGCCCTGTCCCATCTGCCATCAGAAGACTGCACAGATACCCCCAAACCCTCACAGACTGGCACAAGAACTGGAAACTAAACAGAGGAGATCATCACAGGCCACAGGGACTTTCCGTTAGCTTTAAGGTTGATGGAGGATAGAGAAATACAACCCCAGACTGTGTACCGCCATGGGCGGGGGAGAAGCAGTCCAAAGCCCCAAAGAAGGCAGCAGGAGACCTTGACTCACCCTCTGTATTCAGTCTTAATTCACTGGTCTAGCTGAGACGTGCTGACAGGGTGGTAGCCATTCCCAGCAGTGTGGGGACTGTCTTCCCTGGCAACCAGAAAAAAGCCTCCCTCCCCCTCCCTCTTTCTACATCCTTCTGGAAGAGGATGTACTCCCTTGGGCAAAATGTCCTGACCCCTGGGATGCATAGCTAGCTCATGAGGAGACTGGAGGCCAGCATAGAACAAAGGTGGCACAGAGAATGAAGGGGTGTTTCTCTTACTATGCCTGAGCAGAGCCAGCTGATGCGGCCTTGGACCTAACAGCCAAATCATAGACCTTTGTAGCTGGAGACCAGAGCTCTAGGCTGGAGAGATGGCTAAGTGGGTAAAGGATTTGCTGTGCAAATGAGGGCCCGGTTTCAGCACCCCAGCTGGTCTCACCAAATTATTGAGCTCCATTTACAGTAAGAGACCCTGTCTTAGAAAACAAGGTAGAGAGTGATGATTGAGGGTTTTTTGGCCTCCATGCATACAAACACAAAGAGACCGCCACCTCTGTGTAAGACAGGCCCACAGACGCCTGCCGTCCCCTCCCCCAGAGTGTTCTCAGAGCCCTCTGTCCTCCTCTTCCCTGGCTCTTATCGTAACCACCATTAAATATTTAATGTTGTAATTAGTTATTTACTGTCTGTCTCCCCTCCTGGACTGGAGGTCCTGGGAGGGCAGGACCAAGTGGATCTGGCTCACTGCTGTACCCTTGGCACTCAGCCTTGGCCTTGGAATTTTAGGAAATTAAACATTTGTTGAATGCAGTTAATGAGGACAGTAAATTTTTATACTTTGGAAAGGGATTTGGCAATATAATCCAAGAATTTTTTTTAAAAAGCCCCAATATCAGGCAGGATGCTTTTGGCTATAAAGGAGAACACTGGTTCACACTGGCTTAAGCAAAAGAAAACACACCCTTTCTGAACTGAGTACTGGAGAAAAGCAGGCTCCAGGTGTGGCCCGATGTTCTCTGCGCCGTGGTCTTCAGCAGCATTGGCCTCTGCCTGCATTTGGGCTGTAGTGGGAGGGGTATGGGTTGGGAGGGGGCGGGCCTCTACCACTCCTGAGGTGATTGTTTGAGCAATGGTCAGCTGCCTGCTCCTGAACAAATGACTGCCAAGGAGAAAGCCATTCACCAGTAACCTTAAGCTAATCAGTGTCTTCCTCAGAAACAAGACAGGATAGCACCTGGCTAAAGCCATTGTCTGCCAGCCAACAGGGAGGGGGTTGGAGTCTCCACACCCCCTGACACCCGCCAGGAAATCAGAACCAGTTCAGAAAGATGTTCATCTCAGTGTTTGCTTGTTTTGTTTGAGACAGCGGTGACCTTGAACTCCTGATCCTCCTACCTCCACCTCCCAAGTGCTGGAATCACAGGCGTGAACCACCACGCCTGGCTTCAGTGTTTATTTAAAAGAGAGGAGAGAAAAACTTGGATCGGATTCAGGAGGTAACTGCATTGAAATATTTAAGTCAATTATGTGCCGTCTGTATGAGGGACAATTACAGTGGCATTGAAACATTTATACAGTGTTAATGACATTGGGAAATGCTACAATATGATGTTAGATGAAAAACACCAGGATTTAAGATCATATTTACAATGTGAGTCCAATTATTTTTTAAGAGCACAGAACAGAGCTGGGTTAAGTGTTGACGGTGAGGCCTCTTTGACATATAGGGGACTGTGATTTTTGACTCCACTTTAGGCTTTTCTGGGCCAGCCCCTTCTGTTCCTCTCTGCACAGACTTCTGTTCCTGCTCTTGTCCCTCAGTAGAGAATAACCTGCCTTGGGAGTGTCCTCTGCATTTTATGCACAGTCCCTACTTAACCCTTACAGCCATCCGGTAAAGTAAAAGGGTTTTTGATGATTTTGTTGTTGCTTTGCTGAAGCATTTACGGAAACTCCAACATGTTCAGCCACAAAGTCACACAGCTAGTGTATATGGAAGCCTGTCTCTGCTGCCAAATGAGGTTGTCTGCTGCTTGTCCATAACCCGGCACTAAAAACCCCATTTTTGTTCTCTAGGGGCTTGTTTTATTTGGTATATTAAATTTTTAAAATTACATTTATTTAGTGTGTGTGGGGGGGATGGTATGCATGTGCCACAGTTTGTGTGGCAAGGTTAGAGGTCAAATTTTAGCAGTTGGGATCCCTAGGACTATGTGAGTTCTTCGGGGTGGAACTGAGATCAGGCTTAGTAGCAAACACCTCACCCACAGAGCCAGGTCTCTAGCTTTGGTGCTAATTGTTGCAATGCTAGGAGGTAGGGGGTGGGGTGGGGTCATACCTTAGGCCTCAGACACACTGGACAACTGACAGTACCTGCATTTATTGAGTAAGACTTGGAGATTCATTTGTTCATTTCATCCTTAACCACCTCACAGAGACCAAATGAATGACCCGAAATCACATAACTAGGAAGTGGTGGGGGTGCAGGAGAGTCACATGACTGTGATATGGCATCCCTTTTTCTCACACCTGCCTTTAGAATTGCCTGAAGCCCTGCCGCCCTGGGGACCATGTTTAACGGGGAGCCTGGTCCAGCCTCAGCTGGGGCCTCTAGGAACGTGGTACGGAGCTCCAGCATCAGTGGCGAGATCTGTGGATCCCAGCAAGCTGGGGGTGTGGCCGGGACCACCACAGCCAAGAAACGGCGAAGCAGCTTGGGTGCCAAGATGGTGGCTATTGTCGGCTTGACCCAGTGGAGCAAAAGCACACTGCAGCTCCCCCAGCCTGGTGAGGGGTGTGGTCACCAAGAGATGGGAGAGGTGGGGGGTGGGGGTGGGGGGGAGTGTGTTGCTGTTGAGTCCCATACAGCAAAGGGTAGATGCATACTTGGTGGGTGCTTTATATGGGCCAGTGTGTGTGATATTCTGTATTCCTCACTGGCAGGCAGTAACAGCCCAGAGAGGGAAAGTCAGGTGCTCCAGACTGCACAGTGTAGGATGGTGGAGTCCAGACTCCCAGTGTCTCTCCTAGTTCCTGCTCTTTCCATGCATCGGCTCCTTCATGCTGACTTACGCATTTATTAGAAGTTATTTGGAACAGCCATGCTAAGGGACCCCCATATGTTTATAGACATATACATGCTCATGGCCCTGTCCCATTTGTCATTTCTCAGCCCCTAAGGACAAATAGCTCCACAAATATAGCTGCACAGTCACACATAGGTGTTGCAAAGTCACAGGAGAGAGACACAAATACATGGCCCCTGCAGTGACATACCCAGAGTGCTCATTTTGCACAGGCAAGCCACTTCTACTGCCAGGAAAGCATGGTCCAGTTATTCTCATTACACTGTCCATGGTCACAAATAACTCTAAATACGGTTCTCTGAACACAGACAAAAAGACCCACATCACTTAGATGCCCATGTGACTCATGAAGCCTTACATATGCCTTAGCTGGTACATCCTCATATAGAGTGTGCCTTTTCAGGCATCTGGCTACAGAATTCCAGTTACGTTCAGACTTGGGGGGACCCACCTTGTCTCACACAGCCACATGTGGCCCCCCATATCACAGAGGAGCTGGTCCTCCCCACCCAGACCTCCGTTTGTGGCATTGGTCCAGACACCAGCTGGCTTTGTTTTAATCTCTTCCTGCTTATTTTGCTCAGAGTAACAACTTCCCCCAAAAAACCTTCAAATAGGCAGCTGGACGGGGGTGGGGAAGGGTAGAATGCCGGAGCATCCAGGGAGGATGCTCATCAAGACGCCCCATTGGGGCTGGTATTTGGGGGTGCTTTTCCAGACCTTAAAATAGATTTTTACAAAGCTGTCTACAGGAACACTGGGGATGGTCTTTTCCAGTGCCCTGGCTTCCATGTGCTTTCTGTTCAGGGAGATGCTAGATGGGGGAGGGTCTTGAAGTTAGTAGTACCTTTGGGTAGGCAGTGTAGTCTGGTAGGCAGTGTAGTCTGAAAAGTAGGGAGCAGGGAGGTAGGGAACTGGACTTGGACAAGGAGGACTGAGATAAAACCAACCTGGGGGATTAAGATTAGAAGGTCCTGGAGCTGTTGGAATCCAGCTCCAGACCCAAAGATGTCTTGTATGCAAAGTGATTGGGAGAGACAGTCTCCAAGGCCAAGGCAGGACCTGAGTCACTGGGAGTCATTGCAGGGATCTACCATGGCTTCAGACAGCAGCAGTCTGGGGTGGGAGCAGATTCCAGGAAGACCTGCTGCCTTGGGGAGAGACAAATGATGTTGGGGCCTCTGGTTGCCTTGTCTTTGTGGTATGTAAGGGCATGACTAAAGGTCCAGGGTCTGGGGCCAGGGGAATTGCCCAGATGCCTTTCCAAGTGCAGGTCTCTGTGAATCATCTAATCACTGAATGTCATAGCAGGAAGGGCCCTCGGGGTCATCCAGTCTGATGCACTCATTTATCTATGAGACTTCCAGAGCCTGAGGAGAAGGCACTTCCCTGGGGAATGACCTCAGGCTGGCCTTTGCAGCCACACTCCATCATTTACTAGCTGGACAGTTAAGGCAAGCTGCTTCACCTCTCTGAGCCTGCTGTTTGTTTGTTGAAGATAAAATATATGCTTTATAGAGCTATCCAGGGATTAAATAAGATAGATGTGCAAAGGTACCCAGCCTCTTATGAATGGCATATGGGAGACACTCAGCAAAGTGTTGATCCTTTTTTTTAAAGATTTATTTTTTTTACTTTTACTTGTGTGCATATGTGTGTGTGCATGCATGCACACATATATACACGCAAGCTTTGAGTATGCCAATGCCTCGGCTTGGAGCGTCACCCTGGCTGGGAGACTCTGGGACTACAGGCCAGTATGTAGTCATCTCACCAGGGATTGCTGCTCTGAGAAATGATTCCAGAAGGGCGCCCCTGTTGCCCCAAGTGGAATGGCTTGATTCCCTGTAGGGCTGGGCTATAGGGATTCAGGAAGAATTCCTGTCCCAGGCCTAGCTTCTTGCAAGAACCCCACCCTCCTAGTTCATCGACACCCTGATCGTCTTCGTTCCTTTGCCCCAGTTCATAGAGTACAATGTCTAGTCTGTAACATCAGCCCCCCCTTAGTCCCCTGCCTGTCTGTCCTCTTCCAGTTTGTCATCATGCTGCCCTATTGCAGACCTCCAAAATCTCACCCTATGCTTTAGAGGGCTAGTTCTGGCTTCATAGCTCTCTGTGGAACTGTTATAAAGTCACTTTCCAGTCGGGACTCAGTTTTTTCTTCTGTAAATTGAAGCTAAAGATGCTCTTTCCTGACTTCCTTTGAAATCTATCAGTTCTCTAAATTGTGGGAGCAAAGAAGGGTGAGATCAGAGTTTTGGGGTTCTAGGACCTAAGTAAAATCTAGCCTGGCCTTAATTAGGCTGAGCCCACAGTGGGTCATGCTGGGTGGAAGCAACCGCCTTCTATATGTCCAGTACCAAGGACAGAGCCCTTCTCTCCTGAGCCAGTGTTGCTGCAGGCCCTGACTGCCCCTCTTTTGTATGTGATGCAAGAGAATGGCTCCTGAAAGTTTTCTCCAAGGAACACTGAATTATTGCAACCACTTGGATCAGTTCTCTAGAGAGAAACACCATAAAGTTATTCCCTGGGTCAGCAGGGGCCAAATTCCTGGACAGGAATGAAGCCAGTGGGAAGATTTCGCTCTTGAGTTTGCAAGACCTTTCCCCTAGCGCTGAAGACACAGGAGTATAATCTCTGCTGAGTCACACCTCCAAGAGAAGAAGCACTGGGGGGTAGGGTGGGGGAAGTGGCATGTCAGCAGGCAGGCAGGGAGTCTGAGGGCCTGGTGGCTAGCCCCAGCTCTCTGGTATCAGAACCCCAGACTCCTCATCTGGGAAGTGGTGGAGGGGCCTGGAGAAGCATCGCTGACCTTTCAGATTCTGTGAGTTTCTTCACTCATGGGCGCTCACACTGAGTTGGGCAGGTCTTACCTAAGAAGATAATTTCACTTCCAAATGGGCCAGAGCTTTCCCAGGCTCTAAAAGAGCGTGTGTTGAGGGGGTGAGGATGTGAGGGGGAGGCAGGGTGACTTTTATTCCCCCCTCCCCAGACGGCCATCTGTCTTCTAACTGGGTTAGAGGGGATGAGGCAGTTAGGAGCCAGGGACAGAGAGAGGCCCATGGTAGGTCACATGCCATGTGTGGGAGGACATTATGTGTGGTGAATAGATGGGCTCAATTCTAGGTATTAAAGATCTCCTGTTTGGCAGTGTACACTGTAAGACCTGGAGGGCCTGTGTGACTTTGTATAAACAGTAAATAGACACATGATATCATACATGAGGTTATTGTATTCATATATGTGATAGTTAGCACTCCTGTGTGTCTCAGGCATGTGTAAGAGAAATATCCCTGAGCTAAAATGACTCTCTCTCTGTCTCTCTCTCTCTCTCTCTCTCTCTCTCTCTGTGTGTGTGTGTGTGTGTGTGAGAGAGAGAGAGAGAGACAGACAGACAGACAGACAGACAGACAATGATCCCTGGATATGCTGGTTATTCTGATAGCTTGCACTGAGTCTACAGAACATCTCCTTCTGCACGTTGCCCCCTGTTCTCATCACCTCCCCTCCACCACCCTATATTTGTATGGGTTAGTATGTTAGTATTTGTCCTCCTGACCTTCTCTCATCTAGTGGGGACTTCTGAAAGGCAAGTGGGGTAAAATAGGAGTAATAAGGACCTTCCTTTCCCAAGCTGTGAACTTGAGCATTCTCTCCCCAGCCCACTGTTGGCTGCCTTTGGGGATAAAGGTGCTGTTACCCTGCCCTAGGCACCCTTGCAGGCCACTCAACTAACAATTTTCTCGGGCTTATGACTGGTGGCAGCAAATGGCTCCTTTGGTACAGTCTCTGTCTGAGTGCCACTTCCCTCCCCATCAAGTTGCTCAGCAATCAAGCTTTAGCAGGGGAGTCCCTGCAAAACCCCAGCCTGTCTCCCCTACCCCACCCCCGCCCAGGAGGAGAGCTGTCTAGAGGGACCACACTGCAATGCTAAGGAGGTTGCCATGGAAACCCAGGCAGGCTGGTGTGCTACTCAGAGAGGGAAAGTGCCCTGTGTTTCCTGCCAGGCCGAGGAGGGGGCTGGATGCCCCTGAGTAGAAGGTGCAGAGGCAGGGTAAGGGGGCTTTACTGTGGGCCTACTCAAATGCAGCATCAGTCGAGGACAAGCTAGCCACCCCACCCCTCCTGCAGTTTTGCTTTCCAAAGTCCAACTTACCATTCGTGATGCTCTCCTCTTTAGACTTACCTTGAGAAGGCAAATTTCAAATGGTCAGACTTCCAATGGGGATTTTTCTAGGGTAGAAGTGGGTTTGGGGTCTGGTAGGGTATGCAAAAGAGGGAAAGTAAATCTGGAAATCCTAGAACAGACAAACTTTCCAGAAGTGAGAGGAAGGAACAAGTCTTTTTTTTTTTATTTGTCATTTAAATAGGATATTTATTAAAATAACATAGTCAAAATACAATGGAGGAGAACATTTGGGTGGCCAAATCAAATGGGTCTCTTATGGACTGCACTGTCCTCTCTTTTCTTTGTAAGGAGCAAGTCTTAAGTCGTGGAGCTCAGGCTGAAACAGAATGGGAAGGCAGAGTAAAGGGAACCTAGTAGAGCGGGAGGGTCCCTGGCTGCGGGACTCTCTGCCTACGGCTGCATTTGTATCTGGGCTCGCAGCTGTCTCTGGGCAGCTTTCTCTGTCATTACCCTGGGCTGGGTCAGTTTAGGGTCAGCTCAGTGGTGTCCCAACCTTGGCAGATCCCCACCTGCTTCTGTCTAGGGGATTGATTTGACAGTACCCTTGGAGAAGCCTAGGACATGTTTTGACCTTGTTCCCTCTCTCTTAATGGGTTGCGGACCCCAGAAGGGGCCACTAAGAAGCTCCGTAGCAATATCCGACGGAGCACAGAGACTGGCATTGCGGTGGAGATGCGGAGCCGTGTCACGCGCCAGGGCAGCCGGGAGTCTACGGATGGAAGCACCAACAGCAACAGCTCCGAGGGCGCGTACGTGCACCTGACGATTTGATTTCCAGCCAAGTTGTCTGCCTATCTCCCTGTCCCAGCCTCCCTCTCTCCCCTCCTAGATATCTGGTCCCTGAGCCCCAGGTCTCCTTATGGCTCCCAACAGAACACCTCAGAGGACCTGGGGCCCATCATTGGTTCATTTACTTCAGGAAGGATCTCAGGCTTCCTGCCTCCCATCACCCTGCTCCAGCAGAAAGGAAAATGTGACCCTAAATTCCTTTTAAGCCTAAACTCATTTTTATGGCTTAGTTGTGTGAAATCTTTATAAATCACCTTGCTTGGAGATTAAGGAAGAAAATTGGACTCGATCTATGTTTTTAGAACTGTCACATTTTACCTTGTGACTCATCGGCAGGAAGTAAAATAGCTGTAGTGGGTCAAAAGCAGCATTAGAGAAAGAAATAGAAAACGCAGGTGTAGCCTGTGTAGCAGGGGTGAACCACCTGGAGACCTTGAGTTCTTCATCCAGGATGCTCATAGGTCATCAGTGGGCTTCGGTGCTGGCAGGCCCTTTTCTTTTTGCATATGAGTTAAGTAAGCATTTTAAAATCACTGCTTTAGATACTCTACAGATCTGTTCTAAATCAGAGTTTGTAGATTTTCTGCCTCTGTTTCATCAAAGCCCTGTTATTTTCAGTCTCAGGATCCTGTGGCTTACTTAATATTTAGTTATTGTTTCTCACTCTACTGTACAGTGAGCCCCTGGCATCCCTGTGGGATTGGTTCCAAGACCTCCCATGGATCTAAAACCCTGAGCTTCTTGAATCCCTTGAATACACTGGATAGTGTTTGTATACTACCTACACACATCCTCCTGTGCCCATCAGATCCACTCTCGATCGCTTGTAATGCTCAGTCTAAGCTAAATGCAATAGAGATGCTTGTTATACAGGTCTTAGTATAAAGCTCAGGCTGGCCTTGAATTCAAAATCCCCCTGCCTCAGCCTCCTGAGCACTGGTATTATAGGTGTACACTCCAATTTCCAGCCTAGACTGTACTGTTTAAAGAACAATGCTAAGAAAAAAAAATCTGTTTGTACTCAGTACAACTTTTTTTCTTCATACATTTAATCTGTGGTTGATGGATTCCACAGATGCAAAACCCATAGATACAGATGGCTGACTGTACCTTCTAACATGGAAATAAGTAGACATTGTCATTTGCTACCTCCTACCTTGTCTAGAGCATTGATGGGTACCTTAGGCTAGTGAGACTCTCTCTGGAATCCATGTGCTATGATTATTTAACACTTGTGCCCACCCTGAGTGAATGTGGAAAAGACCAGTATCTCCATGTACAGGTGAGGGAACTAACTGAGGCTCCTGAATGGCAGAGGCTTTTTACCCACAGGCACAATTCTTAAGACACAAGTCATTGTTTACACTAAGATCACTTGGTTCCATAACCTTTATTCATAATCTCCACACTGTATACTAATCACCACCCCCACCCCTGCCCCAGTTCTGAGACTTTGAGTCTACATCTCTTTATTTCTTCTGAGGTCTCATTGTCATAAGAATGTGACACTAGGTGGACGCCTATAAACCCAGCACTTGAGAGGTGGAGGTGTAGGACCTAGTGTTTAAGGCCAGAGACTTAACTACATAGTGAGTTCCAAACTGGCCTGGGCTACAAGAGACATTATGTTGCCAAAAGAGGGGTGGATGGAGAGAGGGAGAGGAAAACCAAAAAATGATAGGGCTGGGGAGACGGCTCAGTCAGTAAAGTGCTTGCAGTACAAGCATGAGCGCCTGAATGGGGGTCTCCAGCATCCGTGTGAAAAGGCTGGATGCAACTGTGTACATGCCTATAGTCCTGTGATTGAGGAGACAGAGACAGGAGGATTCCTAAGGCTTGCTAGCAGCCCATCTCTTCAAATCTATAACCTCTAGGTTTAATGAAAGACTGTCTAAACAATTAAGATAGAAAGTGATTGAGAAGACACCCAATGATAACCTCTGACTATGAAAACACACACACACACACACACACACACACACACACACACACACACAGAGAGAGAGAGAGAGAGAGAGAGAGAGAGAGAGAGAGAGAGAGAGAGAGAGAGAACATATGTGCCCACCCTAATACACAAAAAGAATGACACTAGGCTGTTGTTGATCATGGTTAATAAAAGTAGATGCCTGCCTTGAAGCCTCTTCCTGAGGGTGGAAGATGAGCCTTATAAGAGAAATGCTGGTTCTGCCCCCACAAGCCTATTGCTCCCTGCCCGTCACTGACCACTAGAGTCCCTACTCCAAACTGTCCAACGTGATTCTTCTCTGACCCACCTTTCATGGCTGCCTCTAAGAGGTCTGCATATTCTAGTTCATTGGCCCCTGAGCAAGCTGTCCCTGTTGGCCATACCCAGAACATCTGGGCCTGAGGACACAATGGCAGCAGCAGAGGCTGAAGCAAAATTCACTGCCATTTTTTTGTATCTCATGTGTCTAGGACTTTTTCCCCACACCATCCCCCAGTGAGCCAGGTGTCATCCCTGTTGCAGACAAGGCCAGTCTCTTACCTCTTGGAGATGTCTGTTTCATCTGTAAAATTGGATAATGGCTCCTACCTCACAGCCTGGTTGTAAGGATTAATGATAGAAGGCACGTGGAACGTTCATTGTGCTGCTGGCAGCTGGCCCGCTTTCAATCACTGTCAGTTTTTCTTGTTACTATTTCCTGCCCCCTCCCCCCCCCACTCACGGACCACCCACAATCACCTGCCATTCATCTCAACCCCATCGTTAGGTTATTTTGGTCTTTGCTGCCATTTTGAGAACCATCTCACCTTATTGACTTGAATTTTAAGTTTCTGGTTTAAAAAAAAAATCAAACCTCAGTTCTTGGAACTCATTCCAGGCGGTAAGAGTCCATCCAGCTTGTCTCTCATCCTTGACATTGGCATGTTCTCATGAGGATGCCTGTGTCCGGCAAGCCCTGCCCTCTAATGCACACTTCAGAAATCTCTGGGGCTTGGACTGGGATGCAGCTCAGTGGGTAGCATGTTCATCCAGCATGCATGAAGCTTTGGTGTCTGTCCCTAGCACTGCATAAACTGGACATGCTGGTACATACCTGTAATCCCAGAAGGAATTCAAGGTCAAACTGGCTACATAATGAGTCTGAGGCCAGCTTGGGATGCACAAGACCTTGTCTCAAAGAATTAATAAAAATAAGGATTCAATGACTTACATATCTTCATTAGTCTCTTTAATGATATCAAAGTATCTTTCTCCAAGCCAGACACTGTGGTACCTGCTTGTTACCCACTTGGGAGGCTAAGGCGGAAGGATTGTCATGAATCTGAGGCCAGCCTGGGCTACACAGTGAATTCTAGGTCAGCCAGAAGTACACAGTCTGAAACACAAAGCCTGACATATTTTTCCTCAATGTGCAGAAATGAACAGGTGTTCCCTCCCAGTTAGAGTAATATAGTTGATCTGTATAGGTGAGAAATAGAGGCACAGCTCCCCAGGTGCAAGACTCTGCATGCATCCCCATGGCTAGCCCACTGGCTACCCTCACACGTCCTCTGCTTCCTTCTGCAGCTTTATTTTTCCCACTCGGCTTGGAGCTGAAAGCCAGTTCAGTGATTTTCTGGATGGCCTGGGACCAGCCCAGATTGTGGGGCGACAAACATTGGCAACACCTCCCATGGGTAAGTCTTGAGAAAGAAGGACAAGCAGGGTCGTGGGGGGCACAGCAGAAGGAGCTCAGTGGGGCCCTGTGCATGGTAGGACGGACAGCAGGAGAGCCAGGAGTCCCAGCCTCCCTCTCCTCACTGCTCAGCCACAGCTTTTCCAGACGGCCCTGCCTCCCTGCAGTCACCCTCCCCTGCTGTGTAAACTGAGTCACAGTGTTGGCTCCAGTCGATTTAGCTTCTCTGACTTTGGACAAGTCAGTCACTTCCCTTCTTTGAGCCTTGGTTTCCTCACTGGGAAAAAATGGTATCAGTAATCCCTGCTTTAGTTCTCCAATCTCACAGCCCTTTCCTAGTTCCTGTTAGATACTTTCTGTAAAGCATTTTAATGTTCTCCTTAGAAGCTGTGGCTAATTGGACTTGTTACTCCCAACAGCGTCGGGCACCGAGGGACCTTTAGCCATTTTCTCATCTCTCTTCCTGGCTTCTAGGAAGCACTTCTCAAAGCCCACATTGGGTCCTCTTAGCAGCTCTCCAGCCTTCCCCTCCCCATGCCCAAGCAGGTCTCCCCCTCAGTCTGACCTGAGCTTTGCCTGAATCCGATCGATGTCTCTACTCAGCCCCATCCTGAAGGTTCTTGACCTTTGACCCCCCTCCCACAGCAGACGAGGGAAGTGCTCGAAGACAGTGGAGCTGGGTGGGATTCCGTGACAGTTTAGGACTCTGTATGTGGCACTGCCCTTCCTTCCTTGCAAAAGGTGTCCACAGGACCCTCAGATCCACTCTTCTGGTCCTGAGTATTAGATTTGTTAATTCCAAGATTTTGATTGGTACTGGAGACTGTTCAATATCCCAACCCCGTTTCCCTACACACCCTGAGAAGTGCCAGCCACTTCAATAATGTTTAATGACCCATCAGAACCTAGAATATTTTGTCTGTGGTGCCCCCTTGTGTCCCAAACCAGGAAAGACAAGTGTGCATTCATGGTTAGTCATGTTGTAGAGACTGAGACCCTTTATTCTCCTTGCCCAGGTCAGAAATCATTGGAGGGAGGAGGAGGAACTTCAGGGTATCTCTGAATGTGGTGAATCCCTGCCCCTGAAGTACGCAAATACCAACAATAACATGATGGCTGTGGTGTTTGACTCAACTCAGTTGTTACTCCCCATCTCACCCATTTCGTTTTTTTGGGGGGGAGATCAAGTTTATAATTCTACACCCATTTGAAGAATGTTCCAAACAACTACTGTATAATTCTAAACTTAGCTCACCCACGATGAGCAAAGCTTAGAGTTCCAGCAAGTCAGCATGACAGAGACCCTTACCTTTTTGGACTGAGTTATGAGTTCTCAGTTTTCAGCACATAGGGGGCCTGCCCTGCTCCCTTTGTCCAGGGTCAAAGATGTCCTGGGCAGGCTCATAGCTTAGCATCTCTTTGCATGGATACTCTCTTGGTATCTGTTTGACATATACTAAAGAGACTGGCTGAGGGCTGCTGTGTAGGCTCTGCCCCCTAGACTTGCCTGTTCTATGTAGTGAAGCAGAAGCCCCAAGTCCACCAGACATAGGTGAGAGTTTGGAAGCCATTAGTTATAGCCTAAGTATGTGAGGGTCATGCCCCCACAGCCCATCACAGTGTTTCTCAGTCTCTTTGAAATGATCTCCTGAGATCAGTTTCAACATAGGCAACTTGTTCTGTCATACTCCCTTTCTAGGGAAATTGAGCATCCCCTGCAGGGTGGTGGTCTCTGTTGCACACTACCGGCCTGTCCCATCTGATTTCACCTGGACTTCCCTTCTTTTCACTTGCAGGAGACGTGCACATTGCCATCATGGACCGGAGCGGCCAGCTGGAGGTGGAAGTGATTGAAGCTCGGGGTCTGACCCCCAAACCAGGTTCCAAATCCCTCCCAGGTGAGTGAGGTTAACCAGCAGGAGATTTGAGGAAGGGTCCTGGCAGGGATGGGGTACTAGAAAGTCCTCAGCTCACCAGTGCCCTGCAGTGGTGCTGTTGACAGTAATTCATACCTTGCCTGGAAGACTGGTAAGCAAAATGGGCCAGCTCATCCCACCTTACCCCACCCGAACCACTGGAGGGTGGAGACTAGATAGGCTATGGCATCTCTCCCAACTATGCTCCTTCATTTCCAGCCACCTATATCAAGGCTTACCTGCTGGAGAACGGGGCATGTGTAGCCAAGAAAAAAACAAAGGTGGCCAAGAAGACTTGTGATCCCTTGTACCAGCAGGCTCTGCTCTTTGACGAGGGGCCCCAAGGCAAGGTTCTGCAGGTCAGTGTTTACAGGGTAGACACTTAAGATCAGGTCAGACGTTGAACCAGGTACATTTACTTTGCCTCTTCTTTATCACTGGAGGGGGTGTAAACATCATGGGGGGGCACATGTAGAGTGGGAAATTCTCTTTCACCTTGATGTGGCTTCCAGGGATTGAACTGAGGTCCTTTGGCTTCTGTGGAAAGCATGTCACCTGCTGAGCTATCTTGCCAGCCCCCTTTTTTTCTTCTTTCTCTCCCCCTTCCTTCCCTCCCTCTCTTTCTTCCCTCCTGTATTTTGTTTTCACAACCTATGCTTTTGTTCCCCATCATTTCAGAGGGTTCAGAGCATAGTGAAACAGCTTCCCTGTTCTCCTGGCTGGCTACCTCCTCTTCCCTACCTGTGCTGTGTGCCTCACTGGGTGCTGGGTGTTGCTAGGCACTATGTAGAATGATTTATGTCTTTCTCAGAGCTGATCCTGGGGAGGAGGTGTGGTTTCCCCATATTGCAAATGAGGAGGCAGGGTCTCAGAAAGATGAAGGGGACAGCTCAGCCAAATGATGAGCAGAACTGAGCCCAAGTCTGGGTGACTCTCAGGCCAGCCAGCTCCTTGAGAACAAAACACTGTATTGGCGGCCCTTCCTGATGTGTGGGGGAGGAGGAGTTGCTTCATTGTGCCTCTTCAATAGATGAAACTGAGTTCACATGGGCCTACATAGTTTTTCTTCGCTCAGTCCCAAGTTAACATTCCTGCTTGATACTCACTGTGGTTAGGGTGTGCGGAGAAGAAATGGCCCAGAGGTTAAGAACATGTACTACTTTTGTAGAAGACAGTCTGTCAGCTCCAGGAGGTTCCAGTGCCTCTGGCCTCTGTGGGCACCTTCACTCATGTTTTTTCATGCATGTACACGTTTTTTAAAAGATTTATTTATTTTGTATACAGTGTTCTGTCTGCATGTATGCCAGAAGAGGGCACCAGATCTCATTACAGATGGTTGCGAGCCACTATGTGGTTGCTGAGACCTCTGGAAGAGCAGCTAGGGCTTTTAGCCACTGAGCCATCTCTGCAGCACCTACACATCTTTTTAAAAACATTAAAGAGTTTGCACATAGGCAGCCACTCGCTAAGTTGAAAGTGGTGGTGGCTTGCCTTGCCTGAAGCTTGTCTTGCTTTTTGTAGCACACACCTGAGATTCATTTTAAAGGAGAAAAGATTATTCTGGCTGAGTTTTGGAGACTCAAGACCACTGTCAGTTGGGGCTGTGGAGGCAGCTGCTCACTTCAGGGCACTTGGGAAGCCGAGGAAGAGCCTGGAATCCCATAATCTCCTTCAGGAATTCACCGCTGATGTTTTTAATCTTCCAGCTAGTCCAACTCATAGCAGGCTGTTCCTCCCAGCTGTGGTGGTTCTGTCATAAGGGCCCATGGGCTTACAAACCAAAGAATGGCAGAACTGTAGGATTCTGGGGCAGAGGCCCAGTATCAGATGTCTGTTTTTAAAAATGTTTGAAAAATCATTGAACCTAATCTCTTCCTCCTCGAGTTCCAGATGGAAACAGGGCAAGGGGCTTATTCAGGCCCACAGCAGCTAGCAGCAGGCCTGCAGCTTCAACCCTGGACTCTGTTTCTTTGTGGAGAGAGCTGCTGCCTTGGGTGCTGGGAGGCCTGGAACCAGATCCACCAGGATCTAATCCCGGATCGCTATGGGGCCTTGTGTTGGTTAATTAAATCTCTGAACCACAGGGGAAAAAAATACTTGTTACAACATTTGAGATGATGCATGGCCCAGGTGCTCAGAAAGTACAGTCCCATAGCATTTTAAATTCTGACTCTCCCATCTGTGCCCTGGGGAAGCTGGTAGGTTCCTGGGCTCACTGCCCAGTCCTGGAGGTTCAGTGCCTCACTCTTCCTCTCCCTGCTGCCAGGTGATCGTCTGGGGAGACTATGGCCGTATGGACCACAAATGCTTCATGGGTATGGCCCAGATCATGCTGGATGAGCTGGACCTGAATGCCGCTGTCACCGGCTGGTACAAACTCTTCCCCACATCCTCTGTGGCTGACTCCACACTCGGATCCCTTACCAGGCGCCTGTCCCAGTCCTCTTTGGAAAGTGCCACCAGCCCCTCCCCCTCGTGCTCCTAAGGACCTCACTGAGGACAAGAGGCCAGAGGCTGATGGGTGAAGGAAGCCTGCTGGCCACACCACCCCCTGTACATAGTCTCCATGTCTTTCTGGACCCCTCACCCTGCTGCATGCTTGTTGGCCACTGGGCTTGTCCCAGCTGGCAGTGGAGACTGTAGTGTGTGTCTGTGTGTCTGTGTGTATGTGTGACCACATTATATCTGTCCATTTGTCTGGGTACAGTCAGTCCTGGTGACCACATGGAATGCAGTCCATGTCTCTGTATCTTGCTGGAAGGAATCCAGAGGAACATCACGTGACATGTCTTGCCCCTGGAGTCTCAAGGGGTGGAAGTAGATAGAAGATGTGGCCACTGGTGGGCCTGGTTGTCTTATGGTCTCCACTTGGTTTTCTGTCCTGTCTTTTGTTTCTTTGCCTCTCCCAGCATTGCTGCTCTTTTTTGAGGAATGTAGCATCCATTGCAGCTGACCATACCTGGTTCCCTCTAGGAATCCAATCTCTTCTCCCTATCCCAGCCATGCTGGTGGTCATCCCATTGAATGCACTCCACAGCATGTGGCATGCTCACCCAGTGCCCTGGCCCGGCCCCCCAGGAAGACAGAGGATGTCTGGAGAGGAGGGGCCTTGAGAATGTTTCTGCCCCCTGGGGCTGGCACCTTCTTATAGGCCACGTATAGGAGAGCTGAGTTCCGGGGTGCTGACCAGACACCTAGAGGAAATGCTAGGGCCTCTCCTCCCCTGGAGCGTGCTCCAATATGCCAGAGGAGCTCCCCTAGTGGGCCCAAGGCAGGTTTCTTGTCAGCAGATGGCCTTCTTGGGCAGCAAGGATGGACCTGACTCCTTTGGGATATCCCTGAAGGAGCATGGCTTGGTAAGAGGTGTCATGGGTTGGGCTGCTTGCTGGAGTAAGGAGGGCTAAGGCTGAATTGTTTTGAGTTCCCGTCAGGAATCCTGTCTGACCTGGGGATTAGCTGCATGAAGCTGTTCTTCCAGGGTTCTGCTTTCTTTGCTCATCTGTAGACACCAGTCCCCAGCTGGGGTTCTGACACACCAGGGCTCCAGTCTCCTAGCTCCATGAGCAGCCTGGCTCTGCACTTGGGTGCCTCTGTCACCAGCTCTGTACCAGCAATACTCACCCCTCCACCTCCCTGCCTTTGAGTGGTCCCCTGCTCCTCTGGGCAGTGGCCTGCACTAGGCACCTGCTGCCTCTGCTTTACTACCCCTTCCCCTGTCTGGTTGGGGCTCCTCCCAACCACTGAGAACCCTGTTGGAGGGACTAGTGCCTGGGCTCGAGCCTGAGGTGGCTGTTATTAATACTCAAGGCTAGCTCCGGAATGCCATATCTGTTCCTCCCCCTGTTTAGCGATAGGGTGGAATTGGAGGCTGCCTGGGAGATGGCAAAGCAACCCTGGTCCATGTCCAAGAGGAAGGAGGAGGTGGTGGGGGTAGGAGAAAGGAAGGCTCTTTCTGTCTCTTCTAGCCCATCTCCAAGTGTGGCCATGCCTCGAGCCCAAATACCTGGGCAAAGAAAGCTACCAAGGTAACTGTGAAAAGTCCTTGGCCTGTGTGTGAATTCCATTAGTACCAAAGCTGGGGTGCATAAAGCCAGCCCAGCCCAAAAGGCCTCCCTGTAGTCAGAGTCCTGCACCCTCCTTTCAAAGAAAGGTGGTGAAGAACCTCCCACACCAAGTGGGGGTGAGGGAGAGGACGATGAACAGGACTGAGGACATCCGTGCAGGCAGGGGAGTGTATGCATCTCCTGTATCACTAGACACGGGGCAGAGCGCGCTGGCTTCTGACCCTTAGTGGGTTGGGAGCAAGGAGGAAACTGGCTTGCAAAAGGCTGTTTTCATCTTGCTTGTGGTGTGTGTGTGCCTGTAAAGCTGTTATCCTCTGGATTCTGTGAAAAGCATCTGGAGTGGAGGAGGGTCAGTGACCCACTGACATCGGAGACCTTTGCCGATGTGGCACTGAGTCACCTCCAGGAGTGGGAGCTGCCCTCAGAGGGTCAGCACAGGGGATGTGCTAGAGCCAGAGGAAGGAGTTATGTGCTGGGAATTCATGCTAACCTGCCTGCCTACAGTCAGTGGCTGTAAACTGCCTAGGCGATGGGCTCTTAGCTGTCCCATTCCTCTCGTGGAAGCTAACCCCCTCCCCCAATTGATCTTGAGGAGTTCACTCTTTTTAATAAATAATCCCACCTAGATTCTTGCTGGCTGTATAAGGCTAGTGTGTGCATGTGATAGAGAGGCTGGATTTAAAACTCTGTTTCTCAGCACCCTGCATGCAGGGCTTCACCGGGATGCTATTCTAGAGATAGCCCTGTCCCAGAAGAGGAGTGTGAATCTTGCGTGGGCTGGGAGCTATCTGCCCTTTGAGGAAAGGACAATGGGTCAAAAAGTAACTGGGTCCTTGTGAGTCCCCTTACCAACAGGCCACTTCACATATAAACCCTTGCCCTGGTGGCAGTCATCCCATCTCCTCTAGGCAGGCCAGATTCATCGGCGCTATGGCTGAGGCAGGAGTAGCCCTGCAGCGATGCTGGGCTGTGGGCAGTGATGAGTGACTCAGAGCATGTGTCTCTGTATTTCTGCCCTGCTCAGCCTGCCCCACTTTTTCAGATTCCTTCCCTACAAGGAAGTCAGAGATGGGACTCTGTGTTAGGAAACATTCTCCAGGAAATGGGCCAGGTCTTGGTTTGACAAGGGGACATTTGGTCCTTTGGGGAAGAACCAGTTCCTAAGGCACTCTCATCCAGTCTCTCCTCCCACCCAGCTCTGCTGAGGAGCACCTATTCAGCGGGTCCTGGCAATGCCAGTGTGCCACGGAGTAGAGGCAGAACCAAGGAAAGCTCTAGAAAGGCAGGGGTGGTGGTGTCTGGGTGGTGCCACACTGGGGTCAAGCTAACTCTCCTAGGGGCTTGACCCCCACTCCCCAACCAGGGAAGCATGCCAGCTCTTCCTTTACTGCCAGCCTGGGGAAAACCAGCAGCCTCAGTTTTGTTTTGTTTTTAAGACAATTGAGCCCTCCTGGGGCATTTCTTTGGAAATGAAATGTAGCACAATCCTTAACTGTGTTCCCAGGAGCCCTGTCATACCCAGGGGCCTCACACCACAGGTTCTGCTTCCCCTGGGGACCCAGAGCTCCTGATACCTCATGTTCTCCATCACCCTTGGCCTAGGAAGCAGTGGCACCCCAGCAAGGCTGCTCTTCTGTGTTTCTCTGATTGCGTCCAGCACTGTGCAAACTCTTTAAGAAGCCGCTGCCTTTGACCGAGGCTGCTGTCCTCCGCCTGGGGAGATGTGGTACTTCCTGCAGGGCCTGAAGCTAGCCCAGCAGAATTTCTGTAGTGGCCACAAGGAGGTGGACAAGAAGAGGCCTGCTTCCCTACCACCTCCTCCTCTCCTGCTCCTCAGTTGTCTCCACTGTCCTGACACATAAAGACATTCTTTTGAATACACCACCTCTCCTGCATCGTCTTCCGCCGGATGATCAGAGAGGAGCTGGAAAAGTAGACTACTTCCCTGCCTTCTCCCTCCAGTCTGCTTCTAGCCCAGGTCCAAAGAGGCTGGGGAGATCAGCCACCATCAGAGAGCAGGGGCGCCCCATCCAATCAGGTGTGAATTGATGGTGGCAGGATCAGCCTGGCCTGGCTGGGAAAGGGTCATTTTGAGAGTGCCTGAGCATCTCAGAGCAATGTCAGTGATGCCAAAGAGAGCAACTTGGCCTCCTTGGGTACCAGTTCTGTCGGTGGAGCTGGACAAACATGGATCAGAAGTTGGCATGCCCAAGGGAAGGTCCTTGTTCTCTGACAAAGGGCTTAATCTTTCCATGTAGCAAAGCAACTCCCCTCCCCCCAACCCTGAGTGTGGGCTTCTGTGGGCCCAGCATGGCTGTGCCTGTACGAAAAACCAAGCCGTATGAGTGACAGACCCTGTTTTCTCCCTGGGGCCTAGTCTGTCTCAGCAGGTGCTCCTTGGAAAGCGTGAGTGTTGCTTTGGAGAAACTGGCTCTGACTGGACACTCGCCATCAGGGACAGGGCCTTGGGCCTGCCAGGAAGTCCATACTGATGCCAGGAAGGGTCCCTGGACCTGAGAATCCCAGGGACAACTGAGCATCTGCCCCTTTAGCCAATGACCTGGATAGGGATGGCTGTTCTGTACCCTTCCCCCACCCCACACCCACTTTTTGCCAGCAACTGTGACCTTGTGCAAGACTCCTCACCGGGCTTTGGCATCCTCATCTGTAAAATCAGAGCATTAGCAATTTGCTCCATGGCTCCCTCCAGGCTTCGGAAGTCTATGGGTTGGGTGGTGAGGGCGGTAAGGGCCAGGTTCATCTCCCTCGGTTCTTGTGCTTGGAGCAGGTCCTCATTTGGTCCATGCTCAGATACTGCTCCTGGCAAGAAAGCCGCAGAGCCCAAAAACATGGCTTTGCCTCTTCGTAATCCCCCACACACACCTTCTCGTCTTGGTGAGAAATGACTGATTCCAAGGTGCCGTAATGTCACCATCTCTGCTGTATCCTGAGTAAGGCCATTCCTCATTTTGCTTTTAGATGACAGCCCAGGAAGAGTGGACACTCGGAAACTTTTAAAGGAATTCTCTCTGAGGGGATGAGAGAAGGAAATTCCAAGTATTTTGCTTTTTTTTTTTTTTTTTTTTTTTTTTTTTTTTTTTTTTTTTTTTAGAAGGGTTTTTTCTTTGGTTTTGGGGGGTGTCGTTG